TACTCTGACAATGCGATGACGCCAGCGCGCAGCGGTCGCGCTCCGATTTTGATGAAACTTCGATAATTATGTAGCCTTAGGTAAATAATTGAATACATGTTTCGGGATTTTTCATAATGCTCAGTTTAAACAAAGTTATGATGGCATAAGTGGCCGAAAATTCGCATTTTTCTCGTGACGTTTTTCTTTTTTTGTTTTTGATGGAGAAAAATGCGAATTTTCGGCCACTTATGCCATCATAACTTTGTTTAAACTGAGCATTATGAAAAATCCCGAAACATGTATTCAATTATTTACCTAAGGCTACATAATTACCGAAGTTCCATCAAAATCGGAGCGCGACCGCTGCGCGCTGGCGTCATCGCATTGTGAGTGAGTTTGGAGGGTGTACAAAAAATCAAATACATTTTCAAACACATGAAATCAAATACACTCATATACAACCCCGAAATTTATTTAATTTTTGCAATTCTGAGATGCACCTGTACCATCATACTGAATTTCAGCTTTTTTAACCAGCACAAACCAGTGGGGGTCACTAGGGGTACATTTCCTTAAGAATTTGATTAAAAAACATGGTCAGAAATTTTGGAAAATGCATTTGTCTTAGTTTCGATGGTATCATTTTAATTATATGTAATTAAAGTTAGGGGAATTGCCCGAAACCAGGGGGATTTGCCTGGCGAGAAAGGCAAAAGTTTATTCATACGGAAAGGGGTAATAGCCTTGACCTGAGACTTCCCCTCAGGCAAATGCCTTTCCCGTTTCCTTGGAGGATTTCCCTGGTTTTATTCATACCAGTCAATGTCGTTTTAGTTTCTGTTTAATTTATTTTTCACCACGGCATCAATTTATAGTATATTCTTTTCATTTTAATTTCATTCAAAATTAATGCCATGCAAACATTTTCTTTTCATTTTCTTTTCGTTAATTTATAGTGCAATTCATCTCGTTTTCTGTTCTGTTTCACATCATTTTGCAAAGTTGACATCCAATCAACTTTTTCCGAGTGAAAATAAAACAAAACGTCAGATTTTAATATAAAGCGGAAATGGGCCTCAAAAAATCCCCTAAAGTAATAGTAGTAGTTTCGCACTGCGTCTTCGAGATAGTGCGTCTTCGAGGATGACTAACTGCCAGTTTGAAGTTGTTGACCCTAGTGGAGCCCCACTAGTGGGTTTTATGCAATGTCCTTCATTTCAGAGACAAGATCAGTCTCGGAGAGAAGCTTGTTGCTCATGATTCCTTTAGAATTTTAGAATCTCAAAATTTCTCACTTTATCTCTTACTGTATCGCTTTCCTCGTGACGAAATGTAAGCTCTTTTGTTAGCGAACCACACAATTAGAGTTTCTCCAGTCAAAACTGTAATGCAACTTGAACAGAGAAACAAATGCAACTGAACACTACATAATCAAGATCAATAAACCCAAATGTTAGTGTTAACCAGCTATGTAATAATGCCCTTTTTCAGTAAGCGTGCAGTCATCATATCAGAAATGCACTTTGGCCACTTTTCCTCAAAAATCTTACCTTGCCTAAATAACGTATTTGACTTCGATAGGTCAAGGATTGACCTCGAAAGGTCAAGGGGTGACCTTTGACCCAAGTATGGTGTATATTCGGACTGGTGAGGTCCGTAGCTTTCCAAAAATATACGGTTTGTGGGGTTCCGAGCGAAAAAGTGCAATGAGCTTTGACCTCTATTTCCGGTCGAATCAGGTAGCTTAGGGATCAATACATTTTTCGTTCAGCACGTCGAAATGTACAACATATCAAAAATTGAGCCGAATATCACGGTGGGGCATTTCACATAAGGAGGGTGCCTCCTCCTTACGAAAATTTTTCTCCGGATCGACCCTATGGGGTGATCCATACCGATTTTTAGAAATTGCTTTAAAAAGATGAACTCCTTACTTGTGAGATGAAATCCTACTTAATGGCTTCTCTTAAAAATATATAAAATTAAAAGTGAACAAAGTGCAACCAGAGTGACCCTAGAGGGTGACCCATACTGATTTTTCGGTTTTTCCTCTACTCCCCAAGAAAACGAAGTGTATCGCATATTTACACTCATTTATTTATTTCTATCTGAGAATTTGTCAAAATCTCAGAAAATCGGGGGTGGGATACTCCTAGGGGTGTGATTGATAAAGGGTGGCATCTGCAGGGGTGCGATTGCTCGGGGGTGGCATTATCCTCGGGGTGGCAATGGTGGGGTGCCTTAGACGGGGTGCGATTGATGGGGTGCATTGATCGGGTGGCATCATCTGCACACCTCTGGATAGCACATGCAGCTTGGAAGTTCAGGATGTCAAAGAACCCCACTGGTCATAGTAGTTAATGGACAAGATTTGTAAATACTTCAAACATTTGGTGCCAAATATTAGAAAATATCTAACAAACATCACACCACGGAGGTTGGTAATATTATGTCGGACAATTCGGGGAAAATTTAACCCAAGTCCCTGACTTGGGCTAAATGCACTGCACTGCAGGTTTTCATGTTAGGCCGAGATTATTTTTTGTCAATTTATAGTATTTTGTTTTATGTTGTCGTGAAAATTAAAAGAACGAGAGATGAAAATTTTTGAAATATTCATCTTGTACTATAAATTAACATGGTGAAAAATAAATCAAAACAAAAATAAAATGTTAACAAAAATAAACAGAAAATAATACTCTAAATAAGGCGTGACGCATATGAAAGTAGGAAAAATAAAGTTTCGAATAGCTCCAATATTCTGACGATAGTTGTCTTTGAGTGTTCATCTGTGGATGATTATTTTGGAGGTAGTTATCTGTGGGTGGATATCTGAAGGTGTTGTCCAAAGATGGTTATCTGCGTGCCCTTCGATATAATGCAATTTGCAGCAATGAATGGCAATTCAACGTAAAGATGGCCTCCCATGGAAAGATAGTTTATGGCTGGTGCGTTAACTTGGTTATTGGGTTGATGCGTTTCCTGGCCTGATGTATTTACAGGGCTGATGGGTTTACTGGGCTGATGGGTTTACTGGGCTGATGGGTTTACTGGGCTGATGGGTTTACGGGGCTAATGGGTTTACTGGGCTATTGAGTTTACTAGGCTATTGGGTTTACTGGGCTATTGCGTTTACTGGGCTATTGCGTTTACTGGACTGATGGGTTTACTGAGCTGGCAGTAAATTAAACGGGATTGTATAAAATCTCCTTTGAACATGCGTCAATTTTACAACTTCTCGGTTACCACCACCAATCACCATCATGATTATTTCTAGATGTGGTATGATAATTACGCAAATTTAATTTACTTCCGTTGAGGACAGGCATTCAAAGTGTGAAATTTATCGCCCGGCGAAGACGGGCTTAAAAGCTAGTTTATTATAAGTTACATTATTTGAAAGATGTATCTTTAAAAATGTAATGTGTCATGAAATTCTGATGCGCAAAATTTGCATAACTGTCAATGCCAAAGTTTGAAGCGGAGCTTTGCTAGGTGGCCTTTATCATTCTCAAAATAGTTCGCTGCTCTCCAAATAGTAAGCTGTTATCAAATTGGTGGTATTTTTATGAAATTATGAGAACAGTGAGCACTTTTACTGCTCATTAGCGGCGTCCTCCAGAAACGCACTGAAATCATATCTTGCTCATATTCTACAATTCTAACGTCGCCCTACGCCCCCCTCTCAACTTCCGCCGCCACTGCGCACTGGTACTGTATGTAAATGAAACTAACGCAAAAATTTAAGTGTGCCCTTAGGAATTTTTGAAATTCTGATTGCTCGCAGAGATCAATTATTTATAAGAGTGTACCGAAACAGATTATAAACTATAGCACATTTTGCATATCAATTTATTATAGTTTACATTATTTTAAGGTACGTATTGCATAATTATACTGCTTGATTTGCTCGGAGTCTTCCAAACGATAATCGATATAAACTAATTGTTGCCAAATCCAGATATCTAATTTTTCTCCATTTCGTCCTCATTGGGGGTCTACTTCTCTATGCAAATTTTTGTACCATGAGGTTCACACTGGGGGCAAGGCTTTCCATTGTTCAAGATAGTTTTTTGGCCGCATTTAGCTCCTTTTGCGGCGCAGTCCTGCTTCTGAATTGCTTTAGTCCGCCCATTAACGCACCTCATTAACGCTTCTGGGGCACACTTGTCCGGTGGCGTTAGTTCACGGCCACAGAAAAAAAAGTAAGTTCCCGTCGTGTTTAGACTTGCTGGACACAGGCAACCCGGTTCCCATTCCTTACCCAGTATTAGGTCATACTGACTTACAAGTATCTTCCGATCGTGTTCGTTCTCATGCGATGCGTGACAAATGTAGCTGACAAGTAGCATCGTCATTAGGTGCGTTAAGGTAACTTTCATTATTTACAAGGGACGGTGTAACGTTGAGCTAGAACCAAATAAATTTATACTTTTAAACTATCAGAAATAAAGTGTTTCAATAAATAAATAAATTGATTTACACACAAAACATTCTATTCTCATTGGAGCCTGTACAGATTAAAATTTATGTACCAGAAAATAATCTTCAAAAATAATATTTTTTGCAATACTTCCTGCTTCGTGAGTGGCTCACTTATGAATAATTTATATAAGACGTTTTCTTTATTTTAGGGTGTTTTGGATGGTCGTTATTGCGATATTAATTGCCATTGTGTACGTCATTGTTCAAATGGGGAGGACAAGAACAATGGGCCATCCGCTAGTAATTAACCCTGAAACGGAGGAAACGTACATCGGAAATGTTGCATTTCCCAAGGTCACCGTTGCCCCTCCGGGGGGCTTCAAGAAAAGCCAAATCGACGAAGCGATAAGGTAAAGAGAATATTTTAAGAAATACAGCTAAAAAGATGACAAATTGTTTAGGACTGTACCTCAAAATTTATCTATAATATATTTGATCTATTTAATTTAACAGTTTATACTTACACATTACAGGAATTCTATTTTCGTAATCTATGACCTTGATACTGTTGATGGTTGGACGTATAACGAGACCGTAGGAGTAGTTCAAATCTTTGATCAAGTTTGCTCCCCCAACACAACTTTTGCTGGTTTGAATGGCGTTAGCCATGAGAACAATACTAACTGGGAATTATCAAATTACCTTCACATGACTGAACAAGTAATGGACAATGATCTACAGAAGAGTGAAATAGTCGCCCCATTTATTCGAGAGGTTAGGAAAATTGAAATCACATTTAGTTGCGCTGTATTTATGTATGATATCACAAAAAATTGGATTCCCTCTTGTCTTCTGCTGCAGGGAATGGTAAACTGTTCGGAATTATTTGAACGCTGCTTCCTCAACGGAATGAAATTAGATTGTGGGGAGGTTTTTAAAGAGCATTTTTCTGAAAGGGGAAGTTCTTGCGTCTTTAACGGAATTCCAACCGCAGCAACGCGACTGTAAGATTAAGTACTATTTGATCTCAATTATTTTTTGCATAATCAAAAATACTAATGTTTTCATTAATCTAGTAACAAGACGCTGCAATCAGAATTTGGACATCAGTACAAAGCTGAAGAGCTCACTGAATGGCAAAAGGTAAAATCTGATCGAGACAGCGACTCTGTTGCGGAAAAGAGACAAAATAGAACGATTACAATTCCCTGGAAGCAATATTTCCCTGGTAAAACTGCTGGCTTAACTTTCCTCATCAAACGCGAAAACGATTCTGAAAAAGCCTGCGTCCACGGTGAAAGGGACGGTTTAATGGTAAATTACATTATCGATTAGTCACCATTGAAAGACGCGAATTAACTTACAACAAATTTCAGCTTGCAGTAAATCATCCGTTTGACGCATAGAAACTTAATATTACTAGAATGCACAGGCTGAGTCTTTGTCAAGTAAGCATGGTCTCCAATTTCGGGACCAGTCAGGAGGCGAATTCAGTGTGCGATTCCAACATAGTCACCTTGGTTAAGACCAGGTTGGATAAAATCTAGTTCAGGGGGCGAATTCGGTGTGCGATTCCAACCTAGTCACATAGTCACCTTGATTAAGACCAGGTTGGATAAAATCTAGTTCAGTGGAGTAGCTCGGATTTGACTGAAATTTTTTGTGTGAATACCCTATGGTCCCCTGAGGAAGAAAATACCGTTTTTTCGTAGCGGTCTCAAAAAATAAAATCTCTAGAAATTTTCGAAATTTTGTATAAAAAATATTTTTTGCCTCAGATTTTCATGAAAATGATTTTCTAGACTAATGAAACTTTGCTGAACAAGAATATTAAGGAATTTTTTTAATTAAAAAAACTATCAATTTCAGAAATTTTGTATACACATTATTCTTGGACACTTCAGATAATCCAAGACTTTGTCTCTTTCACCCATAGCAGAAATTTTTTATGATAAAGTCAGATTTTCGGGCTAAGATAAGATTTTAGGTTTCCAGCTCTACTAGCAAGCTCTCATAGCTAGTATTAGCTAGCTCTACTAGCTAGCTTTCCTTATACTAGCAAGCTCGCCTAGCTCTCCTTTTTCAAAAATTCCTTCATATCGTGATTAAGCATAGTTTAGCTAGTTTAGCAATTCATTTTCATGAAAATATGAGACAAAAAATAATTTTACAAAATTTCCGAAATTGATGTTTTTTAAATTAACAAATTCCTTCATATTCTTGCTCAGCATAGTTTAATTAGTCTAAAAAATCGTTTTCATGAAAATCTGAGGCAAAAAATATTTTTTATAAAAAATTTCGAAAATTTCTAGAAATTTAATTTTTTGAGACCGCCACGAAAAAAGGTATTTTCTTGCTCAGGGGACCATAGGGTATTCACACAAAAAATTTCAGTTAAATCAGAGCTGGTCCTAGATTTTGACCATAAAGGCTTAGCCGGTCTTACGACTGTGGAAGTGTCCACCCACCATGTTGTAAAGAGGACTTTTATTTATTAATCGAAAATAATGTTAAATCAAATTTGAAAAACGGTTTCGAACATAATTTTGAAAAGCATAAAAATACACCGCAATAACGCAATGAGTGGGCACACCCCGTCTTTCCATCAATCATGATTCATGATGAATTCTTGACTCAAATAATTCAAAATAAATAATTAAATAAAAATATCAGAGTTGCAAATTTACCCATTTACTGATCTAATCATTGCTTGTACTATGCACAATTTTTTAAATAATTATGGGAGCAATTATAACGCTTTGGTAAGTATTAATTAATTAGTTTTGATGATGATGACGAATGTGTGTTGTTCGGTTGTGAAAAATTGAGATGAAGATTTTGGTTTTGGAGCGAGAGTGGAGCTGCAAATTCCGGGCCAAAGGCGCAGATGGCTCCACTCCACTCAATTTCATGGAAATTCCTATGTTTGCATACAAGTTACTACCCTTTGGTTTGACGAGCCTCAAATTCAACGCTTTGGGGCTCCCATTCCCTTTGGCGTGGAAGCCTACGTCGCCGTTCGTCCAACAGTTATCTTTGCCGATGATGAGATAAAGGACATTGATCCGAAGGGCCGTCGTTGTTATTTCAGCGACGAAGGTGGCCGGGCTAATTTAAAATATTATGAAAAGTATTCCAAGCAGAACTGCTTATCAGAATGTCTTTCAAATGAAATTACGACGAACTGCAATTGTTCAATGGTCACCTATCCTGGTACAAAAGGCAAAAAATTGCTCTCATGTCGACATAATTAAATATGATTTATTTAACCTAAATTTTTAGGAATTCCGGGACACAGATTGTGTACAGTTGACGACATGAAAACCTGCGTCCATAAGAAAGAACGTACGTATGAAAAATGTATTATTCATTGAGATGAATATGGCTAGTAAAAGTGCAGAAATATGTAATCCAGTAAATCTGTATTTTGTGAATTGTTGCAATCTGCAAATTAGAGGATCAAATAATTACATTAATAATTAAATAAATTATTTACGTAAAATGTAGAACAAAAATTTAAGTGTAGCATTTGAAGCGTGTAAATGCTAGAATATTTTAATTAAATGCTCTATTTAAGTAAATGCTCTATTTAATTTTTTACAGAAGAAATTTTCAAGACAGGACTTACAACGTTGTGTTCGAAATGTCATCCAAATTGCAGGGATACAAAGTACGAGATGTCGATATCTTGGAGCCCCATGACCGAGAAAACCATGAAGGACTGGGACATACCGTAAGATAAATTACCAAATTCAAAAAAAGGTAAATAACAGCTCGAAAAAATGGAAACGTTTTCCGATCGAAAAACGTAAATACTTTCAACGGAACCTTTTTCCAAGCTACTCCGGGATTGCTACCGATTTTGACCGGTAATAATAACCACTTTTCCCCATTTTTCCCACCTGCCCAAGGAAAAAAAGTGGGTTTTATAGGAAAAACGAAGCCTTAATGAGAATTATTTTATTTTTGAATTTACCATCATACATAAATTTCCGAATTATTAACATAATTCTCATTTTTTTAGTTGTGTCACACCAAAGTTTTTTTATATGTAGGTTCTATCTGACCATGCACTCTAAGATACCCGGTAACTAAGTTATTACCAGGCGGAGTATCTATGTGACTCTACCGCATGGTAATTAATTTATTATTGAGTGGTAGATATTTTGTTACCAAACCGGTAATAACCCCTGTCGCGAAATTTGAAAATATTACCATCCGGTAACTAACTTACTACCACTCAATAATAAATAAATTACCATGCGGTAGAGTCACATAGATACTCCGCTTGGTAATAACTTAGTTCCCGGGTTTCTTAGAGTGTGTGAAATATAGGATTTTAAACTATTAATTTGAAACTTATCATGCTACATATAAAGAATATAATAACACTCTAAATAAAGTTGAGCAAAGCTGGTTGAGTAAAATGAAGTTGATCAAATTTTGTTCAACGTTGGACAAAATTTATGCTTCTAATGCGTAAAATTTACACAATAAAGTTGTGTAAAGTAAGTTTTACTCAACATTGAACAAAATTTGACTTTTTTGCTGATCATATATAAAATTAATCAATGTTGGACGATAAATGAACAACAAGTTGATTAATTTTTACTCAACTCGTTGAGTAAAATCATTTTTACTCAACGCGTTGAGTAAAATTAACTCTGCCTATTTATCAGCCACACGGATGTTGTCAGTTGGTACAGCAAGTTAAAAAAGAAGCAGCAGTAAATTTTCTCCTCATCAGTCAAGGTTTAAAATGACCCAACGACCTGAAAAATCTCTTAAAATTACCGGTTGAGTTCAATGTGCAGATAAGTTAAAAGGTAAGGTAATTTGTATTTATTTTTTTGCACATTTAGTCGTATTTTCTAATAGTATAAATTAAAGTATTTATTTGTGCTTATTTTTTGTGCAGAGAACGATGACGACGACAGTTGGCGAGGGTTCACCAGAAGAATATTTGGTTGCTGAAATAATTTCATTACTGGGCCACATATTTAAATTAATCACAACCAGAGAGGTTAGTAAATAGATAAGGTTTTCGTCAGATTATCTCCAAAAATATTACTTGTATGCATGTAATTAGTATTTGTGTAAGTAATATCCAAGTATTTTTATCAAAATTAATTGTTTTGTACTTATGTGGAATTTATAAAATGTAAAACGAGTACAATTACAATAAATAATGCGTTTTAATAAGATAAATAATGTATTTTAATCAGCATAAAAGCAACCTTTGATCAACCAAAGAGTAAACTTTAATCATTCATTGATCAATTTTTAACTGCTAGTTGAGTAAAAATTCCACAACTTGTTGAGTACAAATTGCACAACGTGTTGAGTAAAAATTCCACAACCTGTTGAGTAAAAATTGCACAACTTGTTGAGCAAAAATCACTCAACCAGGTTGAGTAAAATTTAACCAACGGTTGTGTCATCCTCTTTTTTACCCAGCCTTGGACAAAATTTTACACAACCTTGTAGAAATTTTCTACAACTTTCTTTAGAGTGAACCATATAATTATTCAATTATATTAAAATTGTTTGAGACTCGTGCCATTAGTGAGTTTGAATAATTTTTCAAGTATTAAAAAGTGCCAAAGATAACATTGCTCTTCGTTGTCAATTTAGTTGTCGAATTTTATTCAGGTCTCGATAAATAATTTTTATTTATTAGCTCGTCCTGCGTAGCATGAGAGCTATTGAATTCCTCCTGTCCGTCTGTCTGTCTGTGTGTTAATGAGTTTTTTTCATGAATTGATGCTGATTAAATAGGACCATGTCCATTTTTTAGGATATGTATCGAACAAGCGATGACATGTTATCGCTTGTTTTTGTGCACAAAATGCATTTTGTGCACAAAGTGCACAGAGTGAATTTTGTGCACAAAATGGTGCCAATGAATTGGGGGAATTGATGGAATACGCACCAAACGTGCAATATAACCGGCAGTAATACCGCCCGGTTCCAGGGGTCGAAAAAGTCGAAATTATGTCAAATTTATGGGTCTATTTTGTCCGCTTATTCTCCTCCTATGGTGGAAAATCAAATTAAAATTATGAATCTATTTTGTCCATTTATTTTGCATCACTGATGCAAAATTTTATGTACTAACTTATGCTATCACTTAAGTATTACAGGGCGAGCTACTTCTAACGTTACAACGGTTTATTTGTAATTCTTTTTATGTTACATCCTTAAATCAAGTGTTCTTACATATTTAAGCATTTTTGGCTGATTGTTTCGAAAATAAGACCAATAAAGGTCGTAATGTTAGTTTGCTAAAATTTTAGAATCGTCTCAACATATTAATTTAATGAAATTACAATTTAAAAAATAAGCGTTCAACATTAAAAAGAAATTTTGATTGCTAATTTCGAAATTGATTGCCAAGTTTGTAACATCTAAAGTTAATTCGTTTTTACTATAATTTTATAATGATTCAGAAATGGCGTTAAACTTGCGAATTCAATCTTACCGATTTTAACGGTACAATGTTGTTGTATACTCACTTGAATGTAATTAAGAAATTTTAACT